ATTCGTCGAGATTGAGGACCGAGATGGACGACGAGACAATATTATTTCTATATTGGTTAACAAGAGAACCAAAAAAACAGAATTGAAAGAATCCTTACATGATAGTTCCAGCGACGGCGAGACCGAGAGTACCGCCGAGGTTTCGTATGAAACTGCTCACGGTTAGCTCTATAAAATGACTGACATCACCATGGGTGCCACTCACTTCCTGAATGAGGTTATCACAGCCATATCCCGTCTTTCGACACCGGCTTGAACGGCAATGAGAGAGCTATAATGAATTAGTTTAATTCATTTGACTAGGATAGGAAGTCACATACGGCTGAAGAGTATTTCCAACCCCGACACCAGTCAGGATGCCATACCCAATCTGCTTTCCCAACCCCGAATGCTGATCGAGTGTCGAGAAAAGACCAAGACCAACAGCCCAGATAATCCATCCAAAACAGATGCATTCACGGTAGCGACCGACCCAGTGTACAACAAGACCAGAACCTGTACTGCTGATAGCTGTGGATGAAGTCAGCATAGCAACGCAACCAAGAAGAAGAGGACTCATACTTTGCATGAGGGTAATAGGGAGCAGCATTGCAGCCGCTTTTACCGTCGAATATCCAAATACCAGCTGATAGAAGGTGGGAATATAGTAGATTTGCACCAAAAAGTTCCACCCGTTGATGAACATAGTCAAACATGCGCCATTCACAATCCTACCCTGGAAGATATGCATAGGAACCAACGGTGTCGAAGTACCCTTCCACTGCCACGCAATAAAGGCAAGAGAGATGGCGAACCCAACGACCAGAGTCGCAATAACATGTGCTGAGTTCCATTCATACTCACCACCACCCCAAGTCAAACCAAGCAGCAAGACCGAAGTTCCCCCGAGAGCAAGAAGGGCACCAAAGAAATCAATTGCCTTCAGCTTAACTTTCCAGTTGCCAGTAACTTTCCGAAGGGGCATAAAGAAAAAAACAGCCAGCGTAGTTAATGCAGTGAGAGGTAGATTCAAGCGGAAGATCCATCGCCACGAGTCTTGTGAAATGGAGGCTAGTGCACCTCCAATGATAGGGCCAATGCCATTGGCAATAGCAACAACGGCACCTAGAATACCTTGATATTTGCCTCGTTCACGAAGAGGAACAACGTCGCTGACGATCATTTGTGCGACTGTCATAAGACCACCGCCACCAACTCCAGTGAAAGCACGGAAGACAATCAATTGCGTGGCTGTCTGCGCAAGGGAAGCTGCCAATGACCCGAAGAAAAAAATAGCCAGGCCGACGAAGAGCACAAGCTTGCGAGACCAGATGTCGGATAGTTTTCCATATAGTAGTTGGAAACATGTTGATGTTCTGTGTCACGAGTGTTAGTATCGTGAATGCAAGAGAAAAAAGACTACTCACACGAAGTAACCGCCCGAAATCCAGGAGGTCTGGTCGCTGGCTCCCAATTCATTTCCTATGATAGATAAACTGGCCGCCAGCGTCGTCTGGTCCATCAATGCCAGAAGATCAACGCTAGAACATGCCAGGAAGATCTAGGGGCTGTCGTTAATTGGGCCAGATATTGCTTGTTACTGTATCTACTAACCGTGATGATGGTGCGCTTAGGCACGTAATTAGTTTGTTCGTTGAAGGTGACATTAGTCCCATTCTTCTCAACTGCAACAGCCTCTGTTGAGTTTGAATTTTCCAGTACCCCTGTCATGGCGTATTGATATCATGAAGGGATAGGAAAGTAAACAGCCCAGATATGCGGTAGAAAGAGAGAAAGCAAAAAAGAGAAGAGCCCAAGCGGACTAATCAATTTCATCTATTCACATTCGTCATTCACTGATTCATTGATCAGCGTTTAGTTTGAGCACCTTGACAGAAGATCTGCGCATTAGAGTTGGCAAAACTTCTCAAACACCCTCAAGATACCCGCCCCTTTATACCATGTACCTCGGAATACGGGAATATTTTCAGCTGATAGAAACTAAAGGTGAGGACCTTTGTGATCATTGAATCAATTCTAGAGGACCTTGTCAGACTATGTGACATGTGAGAAATCAGATTCAAGAACATCGCAAGGTACGACGTCAAGAATACCAGAGCATGACGCAGCCACAGTACGAATTATTCCGTTTTCAACCATTCTATATCCAATTCCTGTGACAAAGAGGCTTACCTTCATCCGTACAGAGAGTCGGATCTACACTTGGGCCGTGTCAATATCCCCGAGATCGCTCATGCGATTTCCTTGTTCATCATTTTAGCAAATCTCCAAGACTTCAGCGTCCATTCATGGCATTTGACCCTCATATTAGTCGACTCAGTAGTGGAGTACGAGTAGATCTTACTCACTACCTCTTGGACGCCAAGGAAGACGCAACAGGATGGAGGGGAGGGGCAAAGGATGAACGCTGTAGAATTTATTCTGTATAATTGCCCAGAGTGACCCGGGATTTTCTTCCCTTATATCTGCTTTCGTCACTCGAGGAGATTGTATGCTACTCGACTAGTATCAGCATCTATATCTCGCACCAAGTGTGTTTCAACAATATGGTCAATTCTTCCGAGAAAATAACCAATATGAACGAGCACAATGTATACTTCGGCATTGACTCGTTGAAGAAGTACTTCGATCCGGACTGTCAGCCTCCTTTGCCTCTTGTAGAGCTGCCACCTCATTTGAATCCTTATCACCAAGATGGGGTACGGATATATGCCAAAATGATGACCATGCATCCGACTAACAACGTCAAGGCAATGCCAGGTGAGAAATTCCCGAGAGAACACCGAGCATCAATTGCAAGCTAACACGAGACCAGCATTGAACATGCTGGAATCAAGTGTTGTGCCCGGCGAGACGAACCGGATCATCGAATACAGCTCCGGATCAACAGTGATTTCGATGTCAATGGTCGCCCGAGTCATGCACGGAGTAAATGACACCCGGGCCTTCCTGAGCAACAAAACCAGCGATGCAAAGCTGAAACTGATGCAATTCTTCGGTCTCGACATTACCTTGTTCGGTGGACCATCTCAACCAGAGCCATTGGACGAAAGAGGTGGCATTCAAAATGCCCGAAGAATGGCCCTGGAGTCAGAAACGATTGTCAATCCCAATCAATACGAAAACAACAACAACTGGCAGTCCCATATCCGATGGACCGGTCCGCAGATCTTCAAGCAGCTGCCTGAAATAAACGTTCTCTGCGCTGGTATGGGAACATCTGGTACCATGACCGGTCTGGGGACCTATTTCAAAGACGTAAAGCCATCTGTCTACCGACTTGGTGTTTGTACAGCCCCTGGTGACCGGGTACCTGGTCCCAGATCATATGCTCTAATGCGCCCTGTTGAGTTTCCTTGGAGAGCAGCCGTGGATACCATCGAAGAAGTTGGCTCGGCCGAATCCTATACTCTCTCTCTAAACCTATGCCGAGAAGGATTGGTCTGTGGTCCATCATCCGGGTTCAACCTTCAAGGTCTCTTTCAGACGTTGGCAAAGCGCAAGGCTGCGGGAACTCTATCTGAGCTCGCAGGGCCAGATGGCACAACCCACTGCGTCTTCCTCTGCTGCGACCTACCATATCAGTACATCGACGAGTACTTCCAAAAGCTAGGCGAGGAGCAATTTCACCCAATCCGGAACGAGGTAAATACCCCCTATATGACGTGTTGGCGTCTTAACGAGTCTTGGAAATAGAACAAGAGTTGACCTATCTACTATTTACCAGCGCCTGACAAAAGTTGACCTGCACCGATATGACGAGAGCTGGGAGCGGGATGCGTTAGATGTCTTACCGCAGTTTTATGGATCACCGCGATCGCTTGCGCAAAGCCTATTGAGCGAGATTGTCCTCAAGCCGCAGAATCACGTTCTGGACTTGCGCCAAAAAAATGATTTCCACGCGTGGCACCTCCCCGGATCGATACATCTGCCATTGTCTAGTGTTCGACCTCACAGCCCGTCACCGTTCTCGGATCCAGGTGTTCTGGAGGCACAATGGGCGGAGCTAGAGAAGATCTTCAATGATGACGTCTTTGTCTCAGATCTGAGACGGCATCAAATCCTCGTGGTATGCTACGATGGGGATTCGGCACGCGTGGCTACTAGCGTTCTTCGGGCGAAAGGCCTCGAAGCAGACAGCGTGCGTGGAGGCCACCGTGCGCTGAGGATGTATGGAATCGGGAATGAGAGCCCGATCTCCGTTGAGAAGGGGCCTATTAAGGCCACTGTTTCTGTGGCAGCGGTTCCCCTTGAACAGAGAACCTGAGACCCAGGACCGTAGCGCAATCGACTGGGAAAATGCGGAATGTAGGGTTGGATTTGCCATGTGAAGCGCTAGTCCCGATGCAGACATCTTGTACCTCGTTTTTCCCCCTTCTTTTCTTATTTTCTTGGTCTTGTTTTCAATTACTTCATCGATTTGGTTCATTGTTTGGCGCATACTACCCTATGACTCTTTCAATGAGAATATTGTTTTGACTCCTTTTCTACATCTTCCCACGCGTAAGAGACCAGTGTCCACCTTGTCTCTCCGCATGCGTTGAATAGCTCGCATTTGAGAGAATCCCGGAATATTCGGAAGTCATGCAAGGACATGCATGATGTATGATATTTGACGAGGGGTGCTGACCCCCACACGGTGTCAGATGTCAGATCCAATTTATATCAAGCGCAAATGTGCTCTAGTCCAATTAGCCTGTGATATTCCAACCAACCACGAGTCTCTGAATGATTCCAGGCCCCATATCTCTATGAAATGTGCTCAATTGTGAGCAGATCCCCTCGGGTGATCGCTGGGAATAACTGAAATGACTAGAATGTTAATTCAAACCCCCTCGACAGGTACAAGGAGAATAAAGGAGATATCCCGTTTTCGGTTCCGCCACCCAAAAACAAACTTGCTCCAGATCTGTCGATCATACCTTATGTATTCCATGATATCTGTATTTCCTTGACCATACATTGTAGGTATTGGTATCACTTATTTTCGGTCACACAAAATGATGGACATGAAGATGGCCGAGGGCACACCCTGGCTCGATCAGCCGGTGATGCTTCATTCGTCTCGCGCCGACAAGTGCAAGCTGACCGAGTCTCAATGTCTCTATCGCAACTATCACTGGCGATACTGGTATGCATGTTCTTCCGAGTCACCTCCATGTATGTGTGCTTATCGGAAATCTGTTCTAGGTACCAAGCCGACCATGTTTACGCATTGAACACCGTCTACTTCATGTGTGCGGTGATTGGGGTGTTCGCGATCTCGAACTTGCTTGTACGATTCGCTCCAGATAGAGTGAAACGGACCAGACCATGGCGCATGTTCACCTCTGCCTCACGATACCTTTCTTATCGTGGATATCGATTGCCTGCGCTGCGATATTGGTCTCCAGCATTAGGGGTGGTGATTCTAGGTGCTGTAGGCGCTGTCTTCTTCTTCGGTGGGTGTCTTGGACTTGCGAGGATGTGACGGGGATGGTGGTTGACTTCTTTATAGCGATGACACTCGGCCCGCAACCTTATTACTGGCCAACAGATGCTTCTTATGGAAGTAGTCCTCCGATTGCGACTCGATCGGGCTGGATGGCTCTTGCGCTGCTTCCATTTGTACTGTGGGTGTTGGATTCGGAGCATACAAGTCGGTTGCTGACCTTCTTTAGGGCACTGAGCACGAAAGCTAACATGATCTCTGGCGTGACCGGTATTCCGCATGAGAAACTTCAAGTGTTTCACCACTGGACTAGCTATGCGATGTTTGTGTTGGCCTTGATTCACACCTTCCCTTTCATCATATATCATATCTGGAAGGGGGATATGATGTATCAGTGGAAGACAAGTGTCGTTTACTGGACAGGGGTTGCTGCTCTCATCTCACAGACATATTTAACCCTCATGTCTTTGCCATTTATTCGGTAGGATCACACCTACCTAGCTTGACTACTAGAAGACTAACTCTTCCACAGCAATCGATTCTACGAATTCTTCAAAGCCACGCACATCTTCGTGGCAGTGGTATTTGTCGTGTTTTTCTTCCTTCACTGCGATTTCCGGCTCTCTTCTTGGTAGGTTCGACTGCAATAAGCCCCATGATGACCTCGCATTAACATATATCAGGGACTACTTCATAGCCTCAGGCGTGATCTATTTCTTAAGCATCATAGCCAGTCACATCCGTACCTATCTAATGCACGGCATCCACAACGCGACCATCGAACTCGTCCCTAGCGGTCTTGTCCGCGTTGCAGTCCCATCAATCATCAAATGGACACCAGGCCAGCACGTATTCGTGCGCTTCCTCACATCAGACTTACACCTACTCACCGCCCACCCCTTCACCATCTCCTCCGCATGTCGCAATCCAGACGAAATAGGAAAAGCCTCAGAACTAGTATTCTACATCAAAATCCGCAGCGGTGTCACCGGACGCCTTGGAGCAATGGCATCTAAGAATCCAGGCTGCACGAAGAAGATATTAATGGAGGGACCATATGGCGGCGTCAGCGAACCTCACATGGCGCGATTCGACACGATTTTAGTGATAGCCGGCGGCTCGGGAGGCGTGTTTTCACTAGCCATGGTAGACGAAGCACTCCGGCTGACGGGGATAAACGCACCGGCAGGCGAGAAACAAGCACTGTCCCGCCGGAACCTCCAAGTCGTCTACTCGACGCGCGACCACGCTATGGTAGACTGGTACATCGATGAGATCAAATCACGGCTGTCTGAGTCGGACATGTTATCCGCGCAGTCGAACAACGGATTCGAGACTGCGGTATCTGTGCACATAACTGACCCGCAGGGATTGGGAATTTCTTCTGCTTCGGAATCTGACGATGTTAAGAGCACGTTTGGTAAGGTGCCGCCGGCTGAGATTACCACTGCGGGGAGTTTCAGTTTGAATGTTCACCGCAATGCTCGGCCTGATATTCCTAGTTTGGTTGCGCGCACTGTTGCCATGGCACATGTTCAAGGGACACATCTTCAGAAGAAGCAGCGGGTTGGGATTTTGGTTTGTGGTCCTGCTTCTATGCTACATGATACTCGGAATGCGGCGGCTTTGGCGCAGGCCAGGGTGTTTGGGGGTGAGATTGAGGAGTTGTATTTGCATTCCGAGCCTTTCGTGTAAGTCTTTGGTTTCCTTGCTATATTATGACTATTGGCTAACTGGTTTCTACAGGTGGTGAGTGCTATTTGATACAGAGTAGCATCTGCTGGATTGATCTTACTCTTTCTCTTCTCTTCTACCAGTTTATTTATTGCTTCCAATTACATACGTTTCCATCTAAGACCTATGATTTGCTGCAACCAAAAAGAATCGCATAATTATCTCAGAAAAGGAGCAATATCCAAAGAAATCCAATTTATTAACGGCCAAGACCCTCTAAACCAGTCTAGAGCCCGAGTCTATATAAATCCTAGGTTAATACACGGAAATGTGAGTATGAACTAAATAGTACAGAAAGATATAAGAACAATCACCGGCCAGATATAAAACAAAGTCTGGGGATATGAAACACCGGGGCCAAAGCCCAAAAGAACAAAGACGCCGAACATTGATCCCATAAGGCTGAGTGGAGAGACGAGAAAAAACGTGAGACCAAAGATCAACCAAGAAATGCAAATCTAAACATTAAACAAAATCAAAACGAAGAGATCGTCAGGTCATTAACCCATCAAATCCTACCTTCCACGCTTGTCACAAGGATGAACATATTTTCTTCCTCTTTGGATCCTTGAGATCCAATCAATGCCAAATCACTCTCCTCTCTCGATTCTTCTCATCAACGAATCCCTCATCCGCACATTGACCACACCACCAACACCGTATGCAGGAACAATCTTGCCCATGCGCGCAAAACAACTAGGCACATAATCGCGACGAATTCGCGCCAAACGGTCTGTCCAGTGCAGGCCACCGGCCGGCTGTCGGTTATACAGATCCAAACCGAGGAGGTGCATGGGTGTACTAGCGAACTGCATAGCAGCGGGGCAGGCAAATTGCGCGATGCTGGATTTCATTGTTGGGCTTGAAGCGAGGAAGTCTGGGACCGAAGGGGCGATGAGGGCGGGGATATTGAAAGAAGCCCAGATTGTGATGCTGTCGCGGAGACAGAACAGGGCATAGGAGACTTTTGGTATTTGGAGGTTTGGTGCTATGGGTGCAGAGGGAGCGCATGGTGCGCGCAGAGCGGAGCTGTACTTCTGCGCGACTGGATTTGTATTTACGGTGACGTTTGATTCGGAGGGAGGAGAGGCGCCGAACATTTTGGCGAAGCGCGCATCTTTGTAGACGCAGATTGTCATGTTGACTATCGTTGTTGCGAAGAACTTGGGGAGGCCTGTGTCAATAACGTTATAGGGCTGATGGTGTGTTGTTGATCGGAGGGTGTCGATTGCGTTTGCTGTGAGGTAAGTCGAGGTGTACAGGGTGTAGATGAGGATGAATGGAGTGCTGAAGAAGAAGCCGCAAGGTCGAGCGACCATCGATCGGAGCCCATTGTTGATCGTTTGGCGGATTGGGAAGCCTTTCGAAGCCTTTTCCATAATTGCACTAGAGGAATTAGTCTTCTTTTCGGTAATAGCACCTAAGAACTATCGTAAGTCACTTACCGATCAATGATGGTGATCAATGGACAGGTCAGCGCACCGGCTGTTGCTGCACTAGCGACATCGACACCGATTCGCTTGCCCAGGTCCTTGGTATTCCATGTTGAAGCTGTGGAGCGTTTGCTTGGTGCCTGTCCTTGACATTCCTGACCCTGTTCCTTTACTGTGGCCATTGTAAATATTGTATCTTGTACAACAGCATCCCGATTCGTGCTCATGTAGTATAGACGAGAAACAAGTTATGCATTGAGTAAAACTGTACACATGATAAGGTCAAATGAGACAAAATGAATTACGAATAAGATCTGGGGGAAGATTTATATCTATCGTTGATCTCCCCCAGTTTCGGACGACAATGAACCGGCCGCGGTCCGGCGCCGACCCTCCGATGCCGGCCTAGCTTGTCGGCTAAACGCTGTTCCGTTTTATACAGGCAGGTGTGTGTATATCATTGTTTTTGTGTACATTGCCAAGATAGATACAATGAACTATAGGTTTGCTTCATTATACTCTGACTCTCATTTTAAAATCACCCAACGCCATATACCAAGATCTTAACTACATATCTAGCGAGCTACAATACCATCCATAGTGACATGGACCGCTCCAGCTTGAACCAACTGAGATAAAGGTTAGCAGAAATTCGACTTATGCAAGGGACACACATAATACATACCGCTCGTTGCAAGTCATCAATCAGGTCATCCACATCCTCAATACCAACACACAACCGGATCAAGTCTTCAGGGAAAGCGCGCTCCGCCCGTGTCTTCGCATCAATGCTGGCATGACTCATACGGCACGGCATACTGATCAGACTGTTGACACAGCCAAAGCTGACACTGATAGCCCAGATCTTGGCGCTCTCCACAATGCGCTCGCTAATGGCCGTGTCACCGGTCTCGAACGAGAGCACAGCACCGGCGCCCCGCGCCATGGACTTGTGGAGTTCATATTGCGGGTGGGACCGCAGACCGGGGTAGCGCATCTTGAAGCCAAGGGACTCAAGGAACTCGGCAATGCGCTGCGCATTGCTCTGCTGTTGTTCCATGCGGACCTTCAACGTCTTCACGCCACGCAGCAGCAGCCAAGAGTCGAACGGCGACAAGCCACATCCTGATGCGTTGATAGGGAAGTATAGGCGTTCTCCGAGCTGCAGGTCGTTCACGGCAATGACACCGGCCATCAGGTCGTGGTGGCCGGAGAGGTATTTGGTACCACTCTCGTAGACTACATCGGCACCGAAGTCTAGTGGGTTTAAAAGAAGGGGAGACATCATAGTGTTGTCCACAGAGACAATGCAGGCTGGGTTGGCTTCGTGCGCGGCGGTAGCAATTTTTCCGATATCGACGATCTTGATCAGCGGGTTTGTGGGTGTCTCGAGCAGCACCATGGTTGTCTTCGAGCTCAGGACCTCCTGGACCTTCTCAACCTGTGTGGTATCGACGTGGTGCACGATGATTCCACCGTTGGTCGAGAGGAACTTAAGCAGACGGTTGGTGCCGCCGTAGAGGTCGTCACCAGTGACCACCTCGTCACCGGGACGGAGAAGTCTTGTGATCACGTCCAAGGCTGCCATACCGGAGGTCACCACCAGGGCGCGCCGTGCCGACATGATCTTGGCCAAGTGACGCTCAAGATGTGTGCGAGTGGGGTTGCCGGACCGTGTATAGTCATACTCTCCACCGCCGGCGTTGGAGGTTTGTTTGAAGGTAGCACTCTATGTGATAATAATCAGCATTTATGTCCAATTGGAAGTAATATTCTATCACCGGGTGTGGATATGTACCTGATAGATAGGAACGCTGCTGGCATTGTATTGGTCACTGCCCTCGGTGAAGACCAGTTCGGTGGCAATATTGTACCGGCGACCGGTATGAGGGCTGGACGGGGCAGGGGAAGGTGGAAGGTCATTGCCTGACAGGTCAACCTGAGGGAAACCCTTCTTTACACCGCTGGATGACCCCGAGGCGGCATTGGGAATTCCGGATCCTGACGCCGACATCGTTGTAGCGGGGCAGAAAGACGGGAGAGAGAGTGTGTGTGTATATGGAGGGTAATTGAGGTGAATTGAAAGCAAACAAGACTCAAAAGATGCGAATATGCCGAAAGAGAAAGGGGGAATAGGAACAAAAATCAAAAAGAAACCGAAGAAACCCCAAGCAGTTCACATCTTCTCTCCCCCCGGACCAAGCTGACTCGTCCACGTCGGCGCTGATTCGTCGAGCCACGGCCATTGCGATCTCGTCATCCGCTAGTCCCGATTAGGCATGCAGGTATGTGGAGTTTTTATGAGTCAAACAATCTACGTTGATTAACTAACTAGTTCACGAAGTTTGTTAGTTATGTCCATGGTGATTATGGAAGAGTTGTACATAGATTGAGAGAGGCAATGCCCAATGTGAAAATGGAGACTTTAATATCAATGTTAGTATAGCTTAGCTAGACATCTCAAGGCTTGCTTAAATTTATTTTGATGGTTTCCATACTGCTAGCGAAGAGATATATCAATCGAAATTCAATTGGAAGCTATGTACGGATATATGACTATTATGACTAGCCAACTACTCTGGACATACTCTCGTTAGTCATCGACTTGGCTTGCCCAGGTGCCCAGATGGGACTTCCCACTTTTCTCCTCATCTCTACATATATCTATCCACTTGCACATGCCTCTACTGAGTCTGGTGTCTGGAATCTGAAAATTATTCAAGCCTCTTCAATACCGTAGAGAGGAACAACAAAAATGGCATCGGCATCGGAAGCGGCATTCGCCTATCACGAACCGTCAATCAAAACAGTCCTCAGCTATACCAGCTTTCTCTTGACTCTGAATATAGCCAATACCTGTCTGGACAAGCTTCTCTACTGTGGTTTTTTCGGCCAACTCTTCATCGGTGTCCTGTGGGGCACACTTGGGGCACAATGGATCGATCAAGAGACAGAAAGAGTGATCCAGCAGATTGGGTATTTAGGCCTGATACTCTTGATTTACGAAGGTAAGTGTGTGACATTTTGTCAACTTGCTGGATATATCTACTTACAATAAATAGGCGGGTTGTCAACCTCCATCCAGTCTTTGAAGGCAAATATTCTACTTTCAACTGCCGTTGCCATCACTGGGGTCTGTGTCCCAATGGGCTTTTCATTCATTCTTGAGGAGCTTGCTTGTGTCGGCCACCCCTCTTCAGTCCTTCGCTGCTGGTGCAGCCTTGAGCGCAACTAGTCTCGGCACCACCTTTACCATTCTCTCAACCACGCAGCTGACAACTACAAGGCTCGGCACAGTCACCACTAGTGCCGCAATGCTAGACGATGTCGTCGGTCTAGTCATGGTTCAAATTATTTCAAACCTTGGCGGAAGTGCCACCTCATTCACTACTGTGACTGTTATTCGACCTGTTCTTATTTTTATCGGGTTCGCCGTTGGTCTTCTATTGCTGTGTGCATTCTGTTTACAGCCAGTATTAAAGAATTGCTTGGTTGCAAAGACAAGTTCCCTGATTTTATGGGAACTACAGAATTTGCTTTCCTTTCACAGACGTGTGTGCTAGTTGGCATCGTGGCTGGTGCAACATATGCTGGGACTTCGAGCCTCTTTGCTGCCTACCTTGCTGGAGTGATTGTCTCTTGGTTCGATGGGCTGATAGCTGAAGCGAAAACACAATTTCCCGCCTTGCGGTCTGCTGAATCTCACGGGAAAACTTTGAACGAACAATCGCGCACACGGAATTGCAAGGATCGTACTGAAGAGACACCCTCTTCGCCTACGCAACCTCCACAGGCAACCGAAATAACCCCTAATGATACACCTACAGGTGAACTCATATACGCCAAATACTACAAAGAGCCGGTGAACCGAATCCTTCTCCCTCTTTTCTTCGTGGGTACTTCCCTTTGATTTAGGAAGGGGCATACTAACACTAGTAGGCATCCATCGGGTTCGCAATCCCCATAACCAAAATGTTCTCAGGCCAAGTTGTATGGCGTGGAATTATTTAAGCCATGCTAATGGCAATTAGAAGAATGATCTGGCTGGTGCGATTCTCTCCGAGCCCTGTGTCGCGTCTGGTCTCTATCATCAAGAAGCCATCTACATACGCCCATTTCTACTGTTTAGGTCCTTGGACTGCCAGCAGAAAATCAAACCAAAAGAAGAAAGGCCCACAAATACCAGCGACTCAAGATGAGAGCGCAGATGTTCCCGCCCCGGATAATGCCAAAGACGAGTCTCAGTCAACGAACAGATCCCCTGCGCCCACTTTTCGCCCCGATTCCCGTATCTCGCTCCCCCCGAAACCAAAGTCCTTCTACCCGCCTTCTATCCTGGGATTGGCAATGGTTGCCCGAGGCGAAGTGGGATACCTCATTGCTTCAATTGCCGAAAGCAAAGGGATATTCTCCAATGACTCTTCCGAAGGACCATCTGATATCTATCTAGTGGTCATCTGGGCAATCTCCCTCTGCACATTGATCGGTCCGATCTTGGTTGGAACTCTAGTCAAACGTGTAAAGAAGCTGCAACAGTCAAGGGTGAATATGGGGCTCGATCCTTTGGGAGTTTGGGGAATCTAATTATCTCGGATACAGTGAGCGACGACCATGCTATATTGAAGCCCACAAGCGATACCATTGGTTTAATGACAATAATCATTCTGATATGAATGGTATCATGCTAATCTCCAAAAACACAGCCGTTCAGCCACCCATCTCCATAATCCCTCCATTCTTGATATGAGCCATGTCGCTTCGGGTAATGGGATCCTTCTTGTCAAAAGACACCTTTTTGCGTTCCGCAGGAGTCCAAGACGTGATGTCCTTCGAATCACCACCCAGATGCCCATCATTGGCCTTCTTCAGCTTCGCTAATACCTTTGCCCAGCCCCAGGGATCATTGGCATTGGCTGTGGCCTCGGGAAGCTCAACCGTCTCATCAGACGACTTTTCGTAGCGCGGGTGGTTCAAGCCATGAATTGTGACATCGTGCTTAGCAGCATAAGCCTCAATCTTCGCGCCATGGTCGCCTTGGTCGATACCGTACTCTTTGAAATCAACACTGAAGCGAATGAACAGACCGATCATGGCTCCGATGTTCTTTACCTCCGAGTCCGGCTTGAAGAGCCCATTTCGCTCCAGAGTAGCAAGCATAGTAAGGAACATTGTACCGAAGGCGATAAACACCGCATTCACGGTCTCTCCGTCATCGCAGCTATTTATTGCACCCGTTAGCGTTCCGTCGACACCTAATATTCTGCTCGGAGCCAGTGAGACAAACCCAACCATCGGCATGATAGCATCCGTTTGGAAATACAGCCCCGTCGCTTCACAGATGGCCCACTGCATCTTCCAGTCACCAGCTGCCTCGTCAAAATCTAGGAGCAGGTTCTCCACCAACTCCATAACTGCATATCCAAGGAAGTCATTGTAGACATACATCCCGAAGTTATCCGGGTCGCGTGCGATGGTACCTTGCTGCAGCGTAATCCATTTAGCGATGCCGGCGTTTGTGAAGATCCATTTCTCTCTCGGGTGCTCCGAAGCAGGTTCGAGGGCTGTGGCTTTGTCCGCCTCCTGGTATCAGAATCAGCCACTATCCCGCACTAGAGAATGGTATTTCTCTCCTAATTAGGAAGTCACTAACCGCATCATCTTTCTTCTTCTGCTCTATAAGCTCCTCATCTTCCTCGTCCTCATCCTCAGACTCATCGTCTGTGCTTTCCGTCTTCCAAGGCGCGCGCCCCAGACAAATATAGGAGAAAGCCTTGACTGGGTCTCGGGTTCGCAATTTGAACTCTGAAGCCGCGTTTCGGGAGACAGAGACGGGGGCCCATCGCTTATTCAGTTCGCGCTCGGTTTCCATGTCTACTTCAGAGCTGTTTGCTAGGCTCTTGGACTTTTTTGGACCACTAGCGGCGGACTCGGTTGATTTTCTCTTGGGAGGCATAATGGAAGATGATGAAATTGAAACAACGGCATAGATAGAAGGTATATCAAGTTCTAAATTGTGATAGGTTGAGTGGGCTTATTTAGGTAAATACGGGTGACGCGACTTGACGCGTCGTGGACACGATCACAATGAGAGTTGACACCTCAATTTGGTAGAATAATATATTTGTACAGGTATGTGAACACAAAGAACATAATGAACACAAGCAATTGAAATCTGTATATACTCCAACTCCCTCTGGATGCCAGTCCATGAAGTTTCCCGAATATGATCCGGATCACAGAACAACAACAAACGTAAGAAAATAACGAAAAGTCCCAAGATGTCACTATGAACCTCGTCCAAGGAAATTCATAAACCAGACCGTCATAAAGACAGAATAGTCGAGAGAATCCCACAACGCCGCAGCCGAATCCAAACCATTTTGAGACAGAAAAAAAAAAAGGAAAGCTCCAAAAGATGACAGTATATACCAGCATAACAATTAGATTAGAGTCTGCGAAGGGAGCCCGGTTATCCTTTGTACTCGAAAGCCCCCAAAGTCCACTCTCGACAGGTAAAGTGTGTGTAACAGCATAGAAACGAAGCAAACATACTCCGTGATTGTTTACGCCGCCAGATCGCCAAAACCGCCGTTGATGCCGAAGAATTGGAACCTGTCGCGTGTTAGCAAAAGAATATCATTAAGAAAAACCATAGAATCGAAAGTTCTTGGGATACTTACCAGTCCTCGACATTTAGCGTTGTTGGCGCAGTCGGCCCGCTACGGGAACTACTACTCCAATTATCATTGTCCTGGCTAGCAGCGTCCATTGCAGATCCACTCATAGTGCCATCGAGACTGTGCATAGGCGGCCAGGCTTGCTGATGCTGGCCCTCCATGCCGAACATCTGCTGCGGCGGGTTGGGATGCATTCCCATCGCGCCCGGCAGTCCCGACATTATCGGCGGGCTACCATGGGAGATAGACATGCTACGGCCCGAGACGGGCTGCGGCTGGTTGTTCACCATGGGACTAGGGCGCGGGGCCATGCCAGGGGGCATTTGGGATGGGATCTGGAGGGATGGGTCGACTGCGGTGGGCTGGGGTGGCGATGTCAATTCCGGGAAGAAGGCGGTGCCATCTGGGAAGAGTTGGTCGGGCTGGAAGTTCTCCCAGAGTGAGGGGGAGAGGTTAGGAGAGGTGCGGGTTACTAGGAAGAAGTCGGGGGGTGTGGCGGGTAGAGAAAATTGGCCGTTGAATGGGGTTGTGGGCCTGGTGTTGGCTCGGGAATTACCCGTGCCGGTCATGGGATCGTGAGGAACGCGGTGGGTGTTTGGTGATTGTTGGCCGCCGGGAGGAGGTTGGTTTATTTCCCGGGAGGGAGTGACAGCCGGTGTCTGGGGCCGGGAGCGCTCATATGACACGGGGGGTGTAGGCCCGCCACCATTTGGCATGCCGATATCCATGTCATCAAATTTGCGCTTCGGCGGATCCTGCCTCTTCGAGGAAGATGATTCCCCGTGTCGCGTCCGCTGATGTCTCCGGCCTGCAGCCTTCTGAAGTCGCTCTTCCATTACTTTGTTTCCGAGGATAGACTCGAATAGCGTATTCACCATCTTTGCCACCAGCCAGACCTTTGACACATCCTTGAGGGCTAACATGCAAACATTGATTCTTTCCTGGCAGGTGGCCACGATCGAAGGAACCGAGGAGCGCATTTGGTATACGTGCATGATCAAGGCTGAGAACAGACTGTAGACAATGAAGGCGGGCGTGTACCGGATTTCCCCATGAGCCTGTAGGTTCTCAACGATGGAGGTAATCATGCCTGCAGCTTGGAAGGCAATTGTTCGCGATGGATAAGCCATTTCTTCGACCCTGTAGTTGTTGGGTGCGGACGAGGCAGGCGGCATGTGAGCCCTGTGAAGAAGACAGAGTGTAGTATAGTAATTAGAGTGCAAGAGAGCCGCCCAGAAATGATGCCGAGAGCGTTGCCAGCATACTTCTTTGGGACAGTTCTGCAGCCAATCGGCGAGGGCCATATCCGAGTGGGTGAGATCCATTGCATTCATTCGCCGTGACTTTGAAGCCACAGAGTACTGCTGCGACAGAACCAAGCCCATGATCTCGCATAGCTTGACATACTGTAGGAAGAACTGGACATGGACAGGGTCTGCTGGGTATTCGGCGACAATGTCGAGCTCATCCTCGATGAAATCATCTTCCGTCACCATCTCAACATCCGAGTCATCTGTATTGATTCCAATCGGCCGTCCCAGTGCGACAGCGACAGACCGATCCCGGGTGAACAGGGTCCACCATATTCTCTTCCAGAGTCTTTTGTCTGGTTTGTTAAGCTGGGACATTTCGACGCTGCGGTGCATTCCAGAGCCCTGTGCTACCACCATAGCGACCCGTGTCCAGTAGAAGACGTTCTTCGTAACGTCTATGACTAGTCAGAAAATCCATCAGGATAGACTAGTATAAATTATGAACTCACCTTCCGGTCCCTCCCAGTACCAACCCAAAAGTACTAATGCCTGCACGATGGTGACACGGTCATCCTCGTAGTTAGCATCATACAGCGCCTTGGCGCGTTTATAAAAGGTCATAGCCGCAGGGGTTGTCGAGCCATTCGCATCCATAAGCTGCTGGTTAGTACAGACTCTCGATCCTGCCAGCAGAATCGCCTGCAGTAGTAGCAACGACGGCGGGTTTTTGGGGTCACGGTAGTGACGCATGAAGCGACTCTTGTTGATAATCGGCACGACGGGGGCCACCCATTTGAAGTAGGCGTCGACCAACTCATCACACAGTGGTTTAGGTGGGAGCAGGAATGCCCCACGCTGGTGCAGAATATCGATTTCCAAGTTGTCCAGGTCCGTCAATCGAGCGCGGGATCCTCTGATATTAGGTGGAAGCGGGTAGTGCACGACATCTGCAGTTCCATGGCGGTCTTGAACCAGAAGAGACAGATTTGACGACTCGCCCAAGTACGCCACCCGGCCGGCCTCTTTTATCGGAGCACGGGCAAACTTCGGCTTCATGAATTGGGCATAGGCGTTATTGGCGGAAGCTTGTTGGGCAGCCTCAGCCTCGGAAAGGGAAGTATTGGGCATGCCGTCGACGCCCATGATGTTGTTTCGGTACCCAAAGGCATTGCTCTTCTCATCCAAGTCCGAACTTTTCTCCTTTTCTCTGGATATAGAGACCGAGCCAGATACCGAATTGGCTGGCTCCTCAGTGACAGTGGGTCGGAAGTGAGAAACTGCAGCGTCGACGACCGAGGCAGTTTGTGGTGGACTGTCCTCATACTGACTATCTTCCTTGCTCTTATTCTGATTGTTCTTCTTTCGTTTCGGAGACGGGATCTTGCACTCGATAGAGAAAGCGACACAATTGGTGCAAGGCACCCCGAGACTGGCTGCATCACATCGAACCTGCGTGACGGGAATGGTTAGAGAGTGGGAAAAGGGGCGTGACCGAGGGCAAACCCACCTTGCGAGCATGACATGTCTAATTGAATCGAAAAGAGAAACATCAGCTACAATTTTTCAAATCCAAGAAGGGGAGAGAGAATGTATCGCGATAAGAAACTGAGCCGAGGTGCGTTGAGGACCTCGGCCCCAGAGTCGCGTCTTGCTAGAAATCTAGACGTACCTCGCACGCGCGTGATGCACGTTGTCTAAGATTAGATAGAACGAATTAGCAAGCGCATCAAAATGCTTAATTTGAAGAATCTCCCTTCAGGTACAGGGGAAGCGAAACGCCGAAGAAAACCCTGTCCCTCATCTTGCTTTGCGCCCGCACACTCCCCCCGCGACAATTTATCAGACCAGAACACCGTGTCACCAATATCACAATAGAACTAAATGGCACCGACGGCACAGACAGCAAAAAGAGCCGGCTTACCTTCTGAAACTCAACGGTTGGCCTTGTGGACCATTGCGCACCGTAATGCCCGAAGTCCCCGTCGAGCCCGCGTTGCTCGGAGCCGGGCTGGTATGGCTGTCCGATAGCTGGTCGGTATGAAATTCAGTGGTACTCATGGCCACACAGTCTCTCCATCCAGGAATTCAGACTTGGTCGAGTCGGAGAATTGGGGGGATGCGCTCGGAGGAGAAGGGGAAGTGATCTGATATAAGTCGAACCAGGCGCACGGGAGTACGGGGTACGGAGTATAAAAAGGATAGGAAATAGAATCTTGAACACAGCAAAGACGCCACGCGATCAAGAAAACAGAACAGAAAATCAGCAAATAAGAAAAAAGTACCGGGAGAGGGGGAGGAGGAGAGAGGAATATCAAAGTTGGGGTGAAGTTGGTTGTGGCAATATCAATTTCCTGGTGGAGTTCCCATTTGGTCAGCATTTATGTTTATGCATTGGATTTACACTGGTTTTTATATTCTTATGTTACATGTATATTATATCCTTATAATATGAAGTACGGAGTACTATATATATTATTCCCTTCTATTTCCTACTCTCTGCGTTATCTAAGTAAAAGATGAAAAGGGGTCAAGGTAACCCTAAGAACCCTGTACTAAGTCCATATGGCGCAGGGGTTCACACCGAACCCTCATTAACTCAACGATATGGTGGAATGCTTCTTTGTGGGAGACAGGACCACTCTACAAGACATTCTATCTATTGGCAAGCCCGGGAGGAGTATAATAATCTACATATAGGTGAAGTATATAACTCTTGAAGTGAGTTCCCCCAATCCCTCAATTGCGAATACTTTCAAGGCATCCCAGACGCTAACTAAACAGGACCCTAATTAGGCCCACTGTGTGGAAATACCATTGCTTCAGCCTCCCTTCGGGCTTGGGGGGATTGTCCCGACTGAAAGATTGGTTTTTCGGTCTTCGGCCATGACTTGAAAGACCCCAGATCTCTGCATTAGCCCCACGCCTCCAATGCCGAGTAAAATGACCACGGTCAGAGCCTACCGCCACGCGGGAGGATGCGGAGGTATGGAGGGGAGTTGACGCGGTATACTCTCATGTCGGGAATTCTGCTCAGGACTGAGCTCGGAGACAATATTCAGTCATGGGCCATATTGGCGGGATGTGCGGATATATATGCAGTGTGACCTATTGCTGCCCTCTGGCCACCGCTTAAAGTATACTTGTATAGGGGCTTTCCAGACTATACTACGTAAATTTGGGAATTCTCATTATAGCATGCGCGAGTGTTCTGTTTCAGACATATTAATCGAGAAAGGTACTCCGTAGTGTGTAGTTGTAGGTGTAGATCATTACAGCCGATGGACTCAAACTGAACGATATCAAAGTCAAAACGGTGAGATTGCGGGGAGGAAGGTAAAGATGGGGACGAAAATGACCTGGGGAGAAGTTGCGGGGGAAACTCCATCGCGTCGTGAGCTACTCCGTACGTACTCCGTGAATCAATGTAGGTTTTTCAGAGGACTTGACAGAGGACTTGATGGACGCATATGAGCCCACCTGGGCAAGCTTGTGATGCCTCGGCAACTTTTGAGCTTCGACCAATGAGAGTGCCCAGTTGGTCTATTTCCATTGAATTGATGCCCCACTCTCTGTCGCTAGAGGATACATCATCATCATACATGTAAAAAGGACGGTCTCAGGCACCAAGTCTTTTCTTTACTAGGCCCATTCGCCGGAGATCCCCGGGAAGAAACGGTTATGTCATGGACAATATTTCGCGGATTGGGAGTAAATGGAAGTCCGTCGGTGAGAAAAACAGTTTATTGTTGCAAAGTGATATACATATCAGTCAAATCTTCATAGAGTAGGTAGGGTCTTTGAACTAGTGCCTTTTATAGTCAGGCGGACCATAAAATAATATACATGGAAAAGACCAATTAGATATGAATATAACCAGCCCTATGCAAGTGATATCGTGTGCGCAGAGGGGTCCCTAGTTGCATATTCCAACTATGACCACCCATTCTTTCCTGATTTACCCTTGCCCTTGCCCTTGCCCTTGAATTTGGACTGTTTGGCCCCATTAGATTGGGGTTTCTTAGGCTCTTTGTGGTCCTCGTGGCCACACTCTGTGATTTCTTCGATAGTGTGGATTACGGCATCCCCAACAGCTGTCGTGGGGGCGAAGTCCACACCGCTGACAAATTGCTCACTGAGGAACTCCAGACCGGCCACGAAGGTGCAGAGGGCGCTTGCAATGCAGAAATGGCTAATGGTCATGCCGATGTCAAGCCAGGAGCCCTCGTCGCGTACCATGAAGAAGAAGTTGAGGGTCATGATGTCCGAGATGGCCATGACAACCATGAAGAGCGCGCTAGGGGGTACCTCTAAACGGCGGTTAAGGATACCCAGATTGGCACTTATAATAGCGAAGGGGATGAGGATTTGGAGAATCAAGAGCGCGCCTTGGGCGAAGGGGTCGAAGACGGGGATAAGGCGACGAACGCTGTCGAGGGAGAAGGTCGAGATCGAGGCCACATTGCCAGTGCTGAAGAAGGCCGATTGTAGGAGGAAAAAGAAGAAGAGTGCCACGCGGACATCAGAGAGAGTAAGGGCACGGTAGTAGAAAGTTTCACCGTTGACGGTCGTCACGCCAGGGTTGTTAGCTTTCTTCAAGGCACCTGTCGTGTGGACATAAATGGCATGTTCCAGGCGAACCCATGTCACAATGGTCATGCAGAATACAAAGTAGAACAGCCCTTCCCACGAGATTGTGAGAATGATAAATGTTGGTGAGAAGGTTAAGAAGATGATCATGAGCCGATGCAGATAGTGGCTATTCGGATACAAACGGTGGAAGAATGGAAGCGTGAGGGAAGTCACTGAGGTTCGGTTAGCTTTTCTCGGCGAAGACATCTCATGATCCTAGAACACACTGCTGTGTAAACTTACCTAGCACAACCCATCCAACAACGATATTTCCGAAAGGCAGGCCTTGGCGGGCCTGGAGAGAAAGCACAGATGATCTAGTGACTATGACGGCAAGAAGAACCATGCCAAGCTGAATTCCCATGATGATCCGCGAGCCAACACGACCAATAGCATTTGGTTCTTTGGATTCTGTGTCACGATGTCCGAGGATAGCATCCTCAAACAGCAAATATAAGATACCAGTGAGGAACATGAGTAAACCGCCATATGTGCTGTGAACAGATTAGCCACATGGAAATTGTTGCCGTAGAAAGGGATCTCACATTGTATCAAGGTTTTCAACCTTGATTACTGGCAGAAGAGTGAACGAACTCATCAAACCGCAGCCAAGAGACCAAGTCGCAGACAATAACGGATGGCTGCGAATAAAGCTAAAGCCATGGATAACAGGCCACAATGCACCCAAGGCAAAGCAAACGGTGAAGATTTCGCGGTGGAAATATGATTGAACCATTGCCTCCATGACCCCGAGAAATACAAGTAGCTGGAGTCCAAACTTGAGGTATCCAGTGAAGGAGCGCACATGGCCCAATACAATCTGCCGACCGGCAATCAGAGCCTTGCGGCGTGCAAAAACCTCTTCCCAGAAATACACCGGAAAGAATGCATAGAAGTAGTAGCGCCAGGATGAGCCCTGGTAAAGGAACACCGAGAACAAGGCGACCAAGATAGACGAGAAGAATGAGATACTCGCCGTCGTCCGATGTGAGTCTGATGTTCCATGCAAGACGTGCAGATCAATAACCGTGGTTAGCGCATACGCAATCCAACCTAGGTATCCAATAGAGACGATAGTCCGTAAGAATAGCCAGTCATATGTTTGTAGGTAGCGCAGACCCTCGAGAGCAACGCGAAGAAGCTCGGCAGACACCACAATAGCTTCCTCGTGGTCACCACTGGAGATGAGTACCTCAATTCTTGCCAGTCTGCCTTCAATCGAGTTCTCGTGGTAGCCCGCTAGAGGATCATAAGGTACATACCGGATCACCGCGTGTCTCTTTTGCTCCTCTTTGACGCGGTACATCTCCAGAACTGCCTGGGTGTTGGCAAGAGCGGCTAACGCCTTTTCCTCCGGGCTCGCATTGAGGTAGTCTAGAGGCAATTGACCAACGGAGTTGACAGGGAAGTCAAGACCGACTAGATAGGCCATGAGCGCGGCAACATCAGCCTGCGCTACATCGTGTCGGCGGACCTGGTCGAATCCCCAATCCGCCGAGAAACCATCTTCGTGACCCGCTGCGATTCCGCTAGTGGAGAGCTGGGGCTGTGCGACACCAGATCCCCAGACAACCAAGGGTGTCCGCGTGTTATCGGGATGACCGTCACCATGGCTGCCCGTGTCACTCATACCATGGTCTGCGGTGAACACGAACGCCGTTTTATCATCTCCGTAGAAATCTTCTACTAACTTTGTGACGGCCTGGACTCCTTGATCCACTACCTTGATGTTGTGTAGGTATTCGTTCGAGTAAGGCCGGAAAGAGTGACCGGTGGTATCCAGTCCAAGCAGGTGGAGGAAGAACACCAATTTGTCGTCCCGTAGTTTCCGGTCCAATTCAGGGTCGGTCTTTGCCGATTCGAAGAGATCATGGACCTTGGAGAATACCCAAGTATCAAGATGCGTGGCATCGACGGTGAAGTCCTCCGCTTCTTCGCTGTACATCTCCGCATCGACCCTCCCCGGCACGGCGCCCTCCTTGAACATTGGCAGGATATCGGGACTGCCCCAGCTCCAAGTATGTCGGCTCTGGTTGAACACGCTGTCGAAATTCACCGGGTTCATCTTCCACCCCGTGGTGACTGAGGACACATCCTCATAAAGACCTGCGATAAGCGCAACATGGCCTGGTCGTGATTCAGTGGGGACGCGAGTGTGCGAGACACCGAATGTTCCGTGTGAGAGGACCTTCGAGCGGATAAACGGAGACAGGCGAATCAACTCGTTGTTTTCTGGATCGGCGTCGGGGGACGGGTCAGGGAAAGCTTGGAATGCCTTGTCAGCCCGTAGGCCGTCGGCGACAAAGAGGACGAGACGTTTGGCAGGTGCGGAGGCTCCGGGTAATCGCTCGACACCATATGATCGCATGCCACTAACAATTGGACTGACGAAGTAGATGTCAAAGATTGAGTATGTATAGATCAGGTGGAAGACCACTGCGAGGGCGAGAAACCCAACGCGGCCGAGACGTGCCATGATCTATGCCTCCTAGATATTCAAGCGTTAAAGGAGTGGAAGTGGTCCACTGCCACAAAGAAAGGTAGAAAAATTCACAAAACGAGAGATATGAAGGTCAAACACAACACGTCAACCGTCAACTTGAGACGCATTGAGGAACTTGGCGGTGAGAGCCAATCACAGGCCTCCCTTTGTTTACTCTACATAGTTACAACGTTCTGCTTTAGCATGTATTTACCGGTCGAAGCTTTGCAATATCTTCACAAACCTGGAGAAATTGTACCTTGAAATAAATCCAGTATTATGATCCAGAAAGACATGTGGTGCTGGTAAAGTGGGTGTGAGGATTTATACCTCCCTCAAGTGGCTCGGAGATAAAAAAAAGGGATGTTGTAGTAAGAAAATAGTATCTCGCCGAGGAAATCTAAATTCAACCCGAATCTCAACAGACTAGTCTATGGAATTATACGCTTGAGAATATGAGTAGCATTGAGGCGAGAACTTGAGGTGCCCTGCAATTGATGTGTTGAAGGAGAACCTTGCGAAACGTGTTTCACCGGGCGCACCGACAGACGATTAAAGATACATACAAGGTAGGCATACAAGCGCCAAGTGTGTAGCAACCTTGGAAGGTGGATTTGTTGACATTAATGCTATTAAGGATGGAACACCATGACATTCCCAGCCCCGAAATGAATAGATTCCTAGAGAAACACCAACGATTGACATGTACTATCAGTACTGCTATTGCGCTGGAAGAGACCGCCGCTTTGTGAGGGCATCAATGACTCGCGTATAAAACTTGGCTGCTTGTCCGCGGACGAAAGTGATGTCTACGGTCAAAAAGTCTGGTAGCAGGTTGACCAGGTCGCGATCGCGGTTAGCGTCTAGGTGAGGCAGGTATTGGAACTCGGTTTTGTCGTAATCAGTCGAGACCTTTGGTACGACTAGATGGAAGTGAAGAGCTGTAGGGAGGTTAGAAAAATGCGCACAATTCCTAGGAAATCTAGCAACTTACTTCCATTGACTCCAGTCTGGAGACAATCGTATAGGTAATCTAACTCTCTGTTCTTGACATCACGAATGATCAATCCTGTTAAATCGCTGTATAGATCTTCTTTTAATTGAGCGAGCTGTGAAGCCTGCGCCGCTTCGGCGGTGGCAGCTGCATTGGCACGATTGGCGGGGCCGCCCTTGATGGCACTGCCGGGGACCTTTGCAGCCCCCTCGAGACTGGCAGCTGTGTTCCGCGCTGCGGCGAGCTTGGTCTGCAAGGCTTTGACTTCAGACTGGGCAGACGCAAGCTGTGCTTGGGCCTCATCGGCGCCAGATTTGAGTCGAGCCAATTCAACATCACGGTCTTTGAGTTGCTTCTGGAGTCCACGGGTTTGAAGTCCTAGCTTTCGCTGAACATCCAATTCAGCCTTGAGCGAAGCAACCAATTCATTCGATGCTAATGATGTATCAGTTCATCTGGCCTAGTGGCTATAAGACAACAGAAGAGCATACCTTTAGTAACGGTCTCACTCTGCTTTCGCAGTTTCTCCATGTTGGTGTTGGCTTCGACAATTCCAATCTCACGTAGATTGCGGTATTTAATCTCCAAGGCATCATGCTTCTTGGTCAGTTCGCCTAGCCGGCGCCTCAGCTCTGGGTCTCCACCTTGCTCGGCGTCGGTGCCTCCAAGCTTGCGTTTACGAGGAGAAGAATCTTGTGAGTTGCGTGACATGGATAGCCGAGAGCGAGCGTTCTTCACGGGGGACATTGATTTGCGATTATATGCCGGTTCCTTGTGAATGGCAGTCTCATCTCCAAGCTCCGTTGCGGGTTGGTCATTCTGTTGAGAATCTTCGACTTCGGGTTCCTTTCCATCCCGGCTCGTTGCACGAGCGAGAGGGCTGGGCTCTTGCTCTGTGTGAGTTTCCTGAAAACTAATATTTCGAGAACCGCTCGGGGTAAACTCGAATTCACCATCTGTTAGGAGCTGTGTGCTGACCGCACGAGGTCGTCCTCGACTGCGTGCTGGGGCAGCTCTCGCGGCCTCGACCGGCTGCTTCTTTGTATTCCTTGAGACAAGTGAGTCTCCATCCTCCTGTTTGTCTTCATCTTCCTGTTCTGGTACCATATTCTCCGCCTCAGTTGCCTGCACAGGCGTTTCAGCGTCTTGCGCTGCACCTCTGGGTCGTCCTCGGCGGGCGGGCTTTTTGTTTGTAGGGGGTTCTGGTTCGGCTATAGCTATAGCTCCTTGCTGCTTTCTTGTTCGAGTAGCAGGTTTGCTAGTTTTGGTCTCGGTCATATTCTCGTTTGAGGTACGCGGTCTGCCTCTTCGTTTTTTGGCGGGAGGCTCGTGGGTTTCTTTAATTTCTGCGGCTTCGACTTGCATGATGTCCTCATCATCTGAGCCTAACAGGCCAGAGAGTTTGGGGGGAGCTTTCCGTTTGGGCATTGTGCAGCTAATCTTGGAAGTATAATCATTGTTTGATGACAATAATTGCATACTCGCGGGACGCGCACCGACAACAACACCCAACACCGCCTTCTCTACCCGACATGTGACTGGCATCCCCCCGGGTCCCGCGCCACAAGCTGCCCCAATGATTCCGGCGACTCGGCTGTCTTGTCTTACTCCTGGTGGACTTCAATTTACTTTTATTGCTCTTTAATTTTTTGTTTCCACTTAGAGATTCTTATTTGCGCCATTATTGCGCTATATTTGATCATTCCCTTACCGTCATGGCTTCAGCTGGCCGAAGATGGCAGCAGTTATTCCAAGAAATGGTGATGGTTGCAGGCACTGTGAGAAAGTTCCTGTTTCAGATAGGACAGAATGCTTCTGACACTATTATAGTCTGCCTCTGCATATTTCCTCATTCGATACCTTCTATCACGTCTTGATTTCGACCCAGAGAGCCAGAAGAAGGAGGAACAACGACAGAAGTCCGCTGCTATTATACGTCGATTGGAGGGTGGGAATGAATCAGATGATGAGACTCCACGGAAGGGTGGTAGACGGGGGAAGGGGCAACGAAAGAAGGAGCTTACCTTGAACCAATACGAACAAGCGATTGCGATGGATGTTGTTGCGCCGGAGGATATTCCAGTGTCGTTTGAAGATATCGGGGGACTTGATGAAATTATCGAGGAATTGAAGGAATCGGTCATTTATCCACTGACGATGCCTCATCTTTACGCTTCCACGTCGTCTTTGTTGACCGCACCTTCCGGGGTCCTCCTATACGGCCCGCCTGGCTGCGGAAAGACCATGCTTGCCAAAGCTCTAGCATCAGAGAGTGGAGCATGTTTCATCAACTTGCATATTTCTACATTGACAGAGAAGTGGTACGGCGACTCCAATAAATTGGTCAATGCAGTGTTCTCTCTTGCGCGCAAGTTACAACCTGCCATCGTCTTCATTGATGAGATTGACGCCGTTCTTGGAACCCGGCGGAGTGGGGAGCATGAGGCAAGTGGTATGGTGAAGGCAGAATTCATGACTCATTGGGACGGTCTTACATCGGCAAATTCAACGGGAGAGCCCCAGCGGATTGTTGTTCTAGGAGCGACCAACCGCATTCAAGACATTGATGAGGCCATTCTCCGAAGAATGCCCAAGAAGTTCCCCGTGACCCTTCCTCCAATTTCCCAGCGCCTTCGCATTCTCGGTCTGATTCTCAAAGACACGAAAGTTGATCGCGATAATTTCGATCTGCACTATCTGGTCAAGACTATGGCCGGTATGTCTGGTAGCGATATCAAGGAAGCATGCCGAGACGCAGCGATGGTTCCCGTGCGGGAGCTTATTCGAACAAAAAAGGCCAGCGGGATGCAAATGGATGCAATGGATCCCCAAGAAGTTCGTGGTCTTCGCACGGAGGATTTCTTCTCTCGCGCCGGTGGTATCAAGGTCATTCCTCAGCCTGCTCCATTATCCACTCCGACTGGCAAAGTCTCCGAGAAGGAGGATGGAGACTGGAGTACTGCGCCTGAGGCCACATCAGAAGCTGAGACTCGACACTCTGTGATGGCTGAGCCGCCAGAGTAAATGCGAGGTACTTTTGGTCGCCTTTTGATATTTATTCTCCCTTTATCTCGCAGCGCGAAGACTTGGCGTTAATCTACTGGAAATGCTAGGCTCTGAATTGGTGAATGGCTATTTTGCTCTAGTATGGCCGACTTGTTGATAGAATTTCTGATGTCATATGTACAATGGGTTTGGATACAACAATCTAATACAAATCTTGCTCTTTAACTGTGTTCTTGTTCTATTCACAATCTATATACATGTACGTATGGGGGCCGACAAAGTACCGGGTACACATAATAGGTGGCCTTGACCGGGGAAGGTCATGTACTGCTACGAAATATGCCACGAACTTGCGACGTAGTAGCTTCAGCATTCTCTCTAGGGCTTTGTATTATGTACTCCGTCTGTACAGGCCAAGACAATTCTATTCAATTCTTCTAGTTCTTATAATTCTCGTGGGCAATTGTCCTGCTTTAAATTACTCCGCGTTCAAAAGGTGCGGGTCGTTATCGTCACACCTCCTTGGCCTCCTAGTTATCGCCTGTTCTCCTTCACCTCACTCTCTTGTTTCCCATACCTTCCCAAAGCTTTTGTGTTGTTGGAACTCTTTACTTTGTATTTTGGACGAATACCTGGATATATGATCAAACGTTCTCTGCCGTGCTCCCAGTCAAAGGCCACGAATGCAAGTCCGGGGGTGGATGACGAATGGGTCTCTCCTAGATCAACTCTGATGGCAACTGGTGCCTTGGCGATACACACTTCTAAGGGGGCTTTTATTTTGCATCCTTAGACTTATTCGCTGGATTCACAGGAATGAGTTCTCAAAATAGCTTTGCCAATGCTTCCCCAAGCTTCAACATGCTCAGCGCAAGCACAACTTCAACCTCGACGGTTCGATCGCGCCCTCGCCGCTTAGTTTCATTCACGGACGACGAAGACGACAGCAACAATGCTACAAACTACGCCTACGAGGATGATGCCCAGCTATTTCCCTCGGGATTATCAACGACTCTTGCGCCCTCCGAGGGTGGAACGACTCGATCCCGCGGAGGGACCCCCTCGCCATTGTCATCCCGTGGAGCCTCACCACTTCCAATGAGACACCCATCACGTGCGACCGAAACGATAAATCGTAGTAGTCGCAGTGGGCCAACATCGTTCGCTTGGAGTGGGTCATCAAAGGCCTCGTCGTCGGGAGGTGCTGCGAACTTTCTGGACTCCTCGTGGTCCTCTCTCCAAAGCCTCGCATCTTCAGTATTGGGGAGTGATGCTGAACAAGTTACTCCGAATAATGCGACAAAACCACACGCGCGAAGGAAGCCATCTCGGTCTGACGTATATATTAAGAGTGCTTCCAGGTCGACGTGGGGTCCGTCGGCACCGACGGCTCCGCAGTTCGGAACTGGGACAAAGGAAGAGCGACAGGCTTTAGTTCAGGCCAAAAAGAGAGAAGCGCTGCTCCTTGCTGATAGTGATCCGATCGCAAGTCGTACGCTCCCTCACAAAAGACGCGACTCTGGGGACATTTCATATCAAGCGTTTGAGCCGGAGCACGATGAAGACGCTCTAGCCTATATCCACAAAGTGCAACCAACGGACACTATCACCGGCGTGACGATCAAATACGGCTGCCAGGCTGCAGTGTTTCGGAAGGCGAACGGTTTCTGGCCCAACGACAACATTCAGAGCAGAAATACTGTTCTCCTACCAGTCGATGCGTGCTCTCTGAAAGGCCGGCCTGTTCCCCCAAAGCCTGTAGATCTTTTGAATGACGAAGACCCCAGGGACAGCTCGATAACCCCGACGGCTGCCTCTGCCGATGATACCTCTGCAACCGCGTCAGGGGCCGATGGAAATCATGTTTGGAAGCATGAATCGTGGGTGCACATGGATGGGTTTCCCGGACCAGTCGAAATTGGCCGCGTTCCTCGAAGAGCATTGGGATTCTTTCCGCGTACGCGTCGAAAATCTATATCTTACTCGGATGCAGAACCTCCCGATTTTTACCGAGAAACAATCACTCCTCCGTCTCCTACCGGATCACCACCTCTACCTTCATCATTTGGTATACTGCCACGAAGTCGACCAAACGGCGACCAACCCCAACCCAAAACCACACACCCCATTCGTCCTCAGCATCGCCGCCAACGCAGTAGTATCCAACTGTCTGGCACAGGGGTGGGAACACTTGACCCCACCTCGACTGGTCCAGGGCCTGCGTTAGATGGGTTCACTCGATTCTTCGCGCAGCATATACCGAATCTCGCGCCTCCACAATTCCCGGACAATTTTCGGACGTCTTCCTTTGACTCCACATCCACCGTCGCATCCAATGCATCGACTAGTCTCGAGAACATTGGCGGGGCTTTTGAAGGATGGGTTCGAAAGGTAGCAACACGCGCTAAGGCCGGCATTAATGAGCTTCAGCAAGGAGCAACCACCCAGCAGGGTAGCAGCAGGGGTCGCAATATGTGGCGGATGGATGACCTGATTGAGCTTGACGACGGCTTAGTGGATGGTCGGAACTCCCCCAGCCCGTTCAAAAGTGCATCGCGGAGGTCTGAGTTACAGGGCACCTCATCCTCATCCTCGTCTAATCAATATAACAGCCCTTCGGTGGCAGCGAGCAGGTCTCGTGCGACTGGATTTGGCTCTGGCTCCGGTTCGTCCGCCTATGGCGAGCGGGTCAAGGATGATTAACGTGTTTGAATTTCACAGCGTACATAATAAGAGTCTCCCTGTGTATCCTTCGGAGTTCAAGATTTTTGCATTTCTTTTCCTTCATGCGCACCCCCAAGCGGCTTGGTGCTTTTGTTCCCACTTTGGCGTTGCCATTTTTCAATGCCACGTCACACCAATATTTGACATCGAAACATCGCATGCATGAGAAGTGTGGACATGAAGAATCTCAGCCGCTATTTCGCCACTTGCATACAGCCCATTGACCCAGTTGATATTCGCCCAATGTCTCAACCAGGTTGTTGCGTGACGGATTTTGGGTGTTGATTTGGACTGAACAGAAGCATGCTCCTTGTCATTTCTTCTGGCATGTTGGATGTATAGTACCTTCAACGCTCTTGTTGCTACTGCAGCGCTTTTTTCTTTATCACACCTGGCTTCCAGCCTAATGCCTCATCATCTAGAACACCATCTTCGAAATAGACTACTCGCTTTGTATTTGGGCTTATTTTTCTCTTCTTTTGCCGTAGCATTAGAGGAACTTCTGTAAAAGCACAGCTAAATTCCGAACTGGAAAAGATCAGTCGCTTTCCCCCCTTATGCCCGGTATTTCCTCTTAATTTTCCCACCTATGAGCACGCATGGCAAAGATCACAGCTCATTCCGACACGTTGATGGTGGAATTTCTTTAGTTGTGATACGATTTCCGGGAAAGAGATTGTCTAATTCTCCATGGCCTGGATTTGAGAATCTACTTTGCAGCCAAGTTGGCACTGAACAAGCTCTATAAAAAACCCCTTCAACTCTTGTCCGGTCAGTTTGAGCTCCTCTCAAACTTCGAAAATGCGGTCGATGACAAGAGCCTCGACGGTCCTTTCGACCTTATTCCTCTGTATAATTTCCGGAACAATAGCCAACTCTCTCTCATCCAAAACAACGGGTAACACAGCGAATACCCCAACAGCAACCCTATCAATAAGCAATCAAAGCCTAAAGACCATCTTCGTGGGCCGCTCTCTTCCGGAATTCAACCAAGATCTTTTTCTGGGCATCAAGTATGCCGACGAGCCAATACGCTTCACACCAGTCGAGCTCAAGAGCGACTATGCATCGAAGGATAATGACTCTGGACATTATAATCTATCACCAGAAGAAGTCGTCAGCGCTACTTCTAACCTGGTATACTACAATGCTATGGAGTACGGCTACGACTGTCCCGCGTATGGATCCGATACCACCGACATGGTCAACAGTGGTCTTATCACTTTGAACGAGGACTGCTTTAACTTAAATATTATCCGACCTAATGCCGACGAGAGTAACGGATTGCTTCCAGTTGTGATCTGGATTTTCGGTGGTGGGTGGGCACAGGGCGCTACTGCGGATCCGAGGTATGTTGGTCGAGGAATATAGGGCTGGGTACGAATGTTCATACCTTAGAAAGGTGGCCGATGGCTGTGGTTAACCTTATGCTACGCTGCCTATAGATATAATATGAGCTATATCGTTGAACAGAGCGCATTGAACGGCAAGCCAGTTCTGGGTGTTTCTATCAACTACCGTCTGGCAGCATTCGGATTCCTTGACTCGGAGGAAGTAAGGGTAGTGCCAATATATAGAAACTTGGATACTGAGGATTCTTGAGATTAACTTGGACTCCAGGTCGAAGGAAACACCAATCTAGCACTGCGTGACCAGCGCACGGCGATGCGCTGGGTGAAGAAGAATATCAAAGCGTTCGGCGGTGATCCGAGCAAGATCACTATTTGGGGCGAGTCTGCGTGAGTCACTGGAAATATTTTGGTATAACAGATGCTTAATTTTGAATAAACAGTGGTGCATATAGTGTTGGAGCTCATCTGGTGACCAACAATGGCGATAACGAGGGTCTTTTTAGAGCTGGTATAGTCCACTGTACTTCGTGCCATTTTACGACACCAGACTAAGGTTCGCCTAGCAATCATGGATTCTGGAAATGCTGTCGGGCCCCCATACAACGGAACAGAATGGCACCAGCCAATGTACGACCGAATCGTCGAGAGAGCCGGGTGAGTCTATATCAAACAAGTCTATATCAAACAAGTCTCTATCAAATGACGCTGAATATACTATATCTAGATGCACCAATTCATTGAATACCCTACAATGTCTCCGTGAGCTGCCATACGCAGCTTTATACAGCATTGCAAACGAGGGTCTAGAATGGTTTGCTACTGTCGACGGCTCATTCATAACCCAGTATCCGCAAATCAACTACAGAGAAGGCACATTAGCTCAAGTGCCTATCTTGTTAGGGACAAATACCGATGAAGGTACCAGTTTTGGGACGACTGGCACAAACACCGTTGAGGACTGCATCAATGAATTGACTAGTACGTGTTGTGTATAGCATTTTTAAGTCACATCGTGCTAAGCGAGTAGCACAGCATCCAAGCGTTGGATCCTCAACCGTCCCCAAGCTACCCAGCTGCTGTCCTACTACCCCAACGTCCCCGCCATTGGCTGCCCCTATGGCTGGGGAAATACCACCTGGCCCTCGCTGGGACTCATGTACAAGCGCTATGCATCCATAGCCGGGGATGTGACCATGGTAGCGCCACGGCGCATGTTAGCCCATCGAATGGCCAGCTTGCACGAGGATGTATATTCGTACAGATGGGATGTGGCAGCGTTAAATGGCTCAACAACGATTGGGGTGCAACATTTCGCAGAGGTATGTAGTAACCCACCTAGTCTTAGATACAACCTACCTAGCTCTCTGGTCTGCAAGATAGACTGACGCTTGTATCGGTTATACAGATCCCTTTCGTCTTTGCAAATCCAGTGCAGGCCATCACACCGCTAGGGTCCGACCCTGAGCGCTTGAAACTGGCCCAAATGGCAGCGCGGATGTGGACATCATTCGTGGCAGACTTAGATCCCAATGGACATGGTGGTTAGTAGAACACACGTGCGGCTAGAATCTATTGTTTGGCATCTGACTTCTTCTTTCTAGTGCCGGATATTGCCAAATGGCCCAAGTATTCGTCCCGAGCGACGAACTTTGTTTTCCGCTTACCCCGAAATGAGTGTTATGTCGAGGCTGACATATACCGCGTCGATGGGATTGATTATATCAACAGCATCGCGCGGTAATGTGGGGGTGAAGGCAAGCTAGGCTAGATCATCTACGTTGTGTGCATGAACAAGGGAAACAGATGGCAGACATGTGTTAGTCCAATTGACTTTCTTCGTCAGGTAACGAGTCAAATCAATTGACAGCAAAGAGACCAGGCGTTGATTTTGTTATCCAAGTAGCCTGCCGACCCTATGAGACGAGCAGGAATGATCAATGTGGTTCTTTTTCTCGTTTGGTAATTGCACATCTTATATCTAGCCGAAAATTCGGAAACATCGGTTGATTTAAACACTCTTAGTGCCGACCTTGAGGAGCTCGACCTCGCTGTGAGCAGTTAGTTTCAGTTGTCTCTTATACCTTCGCAGCAGGACTGAGAAAAGAGATGAGTTACTCACAAGACAAGCTTAGAGTTGGCGGGGATCAGGCCGGGGAAGCCACTAAGATGATTGAATATCAGCACAACTCTCATAGAGAGAACCAAAGGTGCATGTTGGAGTTGTGAGGGATTGGAAGCATCCGCAAAAATGATGGATTGTTGATTCAGCATTGAGGTTGGTTGGTTGGTACGTACCGGTCGCCATAGCCGAAGTCACTGTCGAGAATCGAATATTAGCAGTGTTCAGTAGATCCGCGCAAAAGTGCAAAGGAAAGAGAAATGGCAACTCACGGGCTGATGGTCAGGATGGCCTTCTCGCCGAGGGACATCTGGGGAACACCCTCGTCCCAGCCTAATTATTAGGTTAGCAAGCTGAAGAAATCTATATTTCTGACACGAGACTCAGTCGGGGTATATTGAAACGCACCGCGGATGAGACGGCCGACACCGATGGGGGTGGCAAGGGGCCCACGGCCGGGCTTGTGGGAGGTATCGAAGCTGAGGGTATATTAGCGCGTGAGGCACCTGGAGGTGGTATGGAGATTTGGCTTACAGGCTGCCCATGAAGTGGTTATCGGCCTTCTCGGGGTCATACAAGCAGCCGGTGTAGTGGATGGCAACGTGCTCGCCCTTCTTAGGGTAGTCAACACCGTTGCCCTCGACCAGAGTCTTCTTTTCGACGCCCATTGTGAATGTAATAGAGATATATGTAGGATGAATATGGGAGTTGTGAAGAGAAGAAACAAAACAGGAAGACGGGGAAAGCTCGGGAGGGGCAGATTATCCACTTTTTTCCTGGGCGGGGGACGTACGGAGTGGAACTCCAAGTGTCTTTAAGACGAACAACATGGTTGCTTTACTGCTTAATTTATTGGCTAGCATTCAGATCATAGACTGGGTATCCATATATTTACTCAATGGCAACTTCTGGTGATTTTCAGCAATAGAATACCCCGAAAACTCTTTTGGAACTGGGATGTATTCCTGACACGGTTGCTTGGAAACAGCTGGAATCAGCTGGGAATAGCTGGGAATAGCTCGAATGTAACACCAGGGCGAAAACTACAACACATAGGGATATGATCTGCGCAAGACGGGCAAATTCGTGGGTTTTGCGAGTGCCACCGATGAAATCTCCCTCAATGTCATGATCTACGACAGGTTCAGACCAGCCCTTCTCTTGGACTAGAGAAAGGATCATCCTATTTGTTCCCTCGATGCCCCGCGGAGGGGTAATGGCGGGGGAAACATCTCCGCGATAACCCCGGAGCTGTTCTATAGGTATGAGAGTAGAAATATCAAGGCAAGATCCCATTAATATACAGCATAGATTGTAACATCATGACCAAAATGCCATCTTCTTCACGTCCTCCACTGAAATTTCCACAATTCGCGTCTTAGGGAACCGAGGATCGGGCACAGGAGATGTCACTGATGCTTCCAACTGTAGATAATGCAGTGTTGAGATCCCAGTGCGATCCACAAAATCAAGCACGGGGCGGAAGTTCAAAGCAACCTGGTCGACGCCGTGGCTGTCATCGGATAAACAGAAGCGACCCTTACGCGCCAAAAATTCCTAAAATGATCAAATTAGTCAAAGATATACAACAAAGAACTGCGTTGGTTACCTTGCAGATCTCCGCTTTGGGATACGGTTCTGTCATTCCCTTGCGCAACGCAGCTGAATTGAGCTCCAGCATACCGCCGTACGAGGCAATAAAGTCCAAGTTTCGTAAAATTTTACTCCAGACACTAGGCCAGGTAGTAAAGCTGCGCTCCATATCATCGCTCTTCAGACGAATCAAGTCAAAATGGCCCACAACAAGCGGTTTGAGTTGCTCCAGCATATCCAGCTGTGCATCGAAGTAGTCCTCGAATAGTCGCTCATCCGTTCCGCCGGCTTTCTCTCGAGCCTGCTCGTACATAGGTCGGTCATAGTCGATCGGTACGGTATGCATGTGGTGAACCGAGCCAATGAAGAATTCAAAGGGAAATCGTGAAAGTGAGCGTTCGATCAAATCTTTAGAGGCGGGTCGGATCCAGTCAATCTCGAAGCCGATGATGATTTTGATCTGGGAGGCGTATTTCTCGCGGAGAGAGACTGCTTCCTTCCAGTAAGCGGCCTCATTTGCTGCATGGCTTTCTTCTGTTTCTCCAGATTCGAACTGGATGATTGGTTAATTCAAGTTTTGCAGTGTATGTGTTCCTTACGCACTTCCTCGGGATAAAAATCTTCTTTGTGACGGGGCATATGTTCAGTCAGACAAAAGACTTGCATCTTCTTGCTGATGGCAGTTTGAATCACATCTTCCAAGGAGTTTTGGGCATGACCAGGGCAGAATTGGCCCGAATGGCTGTGATGCGAGAACGGCATGTTTTATGGATATGTCACTGTTTGTGGTTAGCACAATATTCGAAGTAAATACCGAGTTGGAGGGCAGGAATAGGCTTAGCTGAATTGAACTGTGAACAAATTCTATACTCACATCTGCCTTTTAGGACGTTCGAAGAAGATCAAATATGCCGGTTACGTGGGGGAGTCAGACATCTATTGATAGACGATAAGGATTTCGCCGCACGGGTGTTTTATAGCGCGGAGTAAGAAGTAACAATTGTATGAATGCATTATTGATTCATAGATCGATACTGGATAATTCAGTATACAATTTCTTGATCGGTCCTTGGATCTAAGCTTTTCACATTTGATTTCTTTAATATACCCCAATGAGATGTTACTTCCAGCCACCATCTACCCAGACATCGCTGACCACAAGGGTGCGAAACACGATCGTACCGGACGCCAATGATGAGGTCACCGAGTGAAGCGCACTGTCGTTCAACTGTCGTTCAAGTTGTGGACATGCTTGACCGGTACGACTCAATTGCAAGCATTGAGCCAGACCAATCGAACCCAATAGCAAATCAGGTCAAAGCCTTGACTTCCTCTAAACCCGCTCTCTAGAACAGTGTCCCCAGTAGCTCCCCAGTAGTTGCACACTCGAACCATGATATCATGGGTACCAGGCAATGACTGCTTGCCGTCCTATTCACAGCCTTAAGAGACCGAGTGAACCAGCCACAAGAGTTGCGATGGGATTCAACCCTAAAGCAGAGTCTAATAAACCGAACAATTCATCCAGCAGCCAAAACAGTAGCAACGACGTACTCCCCATCATGCGAGATCGATAACTTCGCAACCCTCCCCTCACCCGTATCCCCATCCAGCGCATTCCCAAGATAAACAATCTCAGGTCTCCGACTTACATCCTCGCCAAACCTCCCTCCATCCTCCTGAACCCGGACCATGACATCCTTCCAGCCAATCGAAGCCGCACCGGACGGCGCCGCTTTTCGCGCCGCCTCTTTTGCCGCGAAGCGTCCCGCCAGCCAGCGTGTTATGTCCGCCGGCACAGGTGTAGGCTGTTGATGGTATGCGGCGCGTGCTTTGAGGACTTCGCTGAAGCGCGTGTGAAAGTCGTGCTGTTCTTGGTCGCAGAGAATGCGGCGCGTGAATCGTGGGAGATAGTTGGGTCGGGTGAGGAGGCGGGTTATTCGTGGGATGTGGACGATGTCTGTGCCGATGTTCAGGGGAAATGGGAAGGGAAGGGGTTTCATTTTGGGGTTTCTGGTTGTTGGTGGGCGTTCTTGGGGGAGTTGTTGTGGGAGTGAAGTGGTAGGTAGGAAGGTTGCGGGAGGTGTTGGACACCTCGGAATAGCCGTTGAGCTTTTTTTTTTTTAGTTGATTGGAGTACTTGTGCTTAACTCATTAGGAAATTATTGATCGTGTATGAATTTCGCGTGTGACCATTAGCGTGGTTTCAGAGCATGCTTGTTCTATGCTGTTTACCTCTACATGTTCTCGTTTCGCTTTACAGTCCCTCATTGCTAAAGCACTCCCATTGACCGGATAAGCAAGCTAATCGGAGCCATAAAGAGCAATCAATACTCATGCCAAGGTGAAAGTCCACAGAGGGCTCTTGCCAAGCACCGACTCCGAGCGACCCGGTGTGAGATTGCGTCAAAGCAATCGTACCACTCATCTTTCTTCTTCCGCGATTGATCTTGCTCACTGGCAGGGGAAGAACAGGTCTGAAAAGCCAGTGTCAAGAGGATATTTTTCTATGCAGCGTACACGCCTCCTATGTACAGATCAATCAACCTCATCCGCCGACATCCCAAGATCGGTCCGTGTAGCTCCTCGAAAAAACCGTGGTCACAAAAAAAAGCTCCGGAAGGGCGGATAAACATCGGTGCGCGCTAGAACTGGCACAACTTCGGAGGCAGTTTGATTGAATACAAATCATAGCTCCTCATGTTCGACCGCTCCATCAATATAAGCCGTATCGAGGATTAGTTTAATGGCCAGCGGCGGGCTTCTTCTCGCCGCCATCAATCTCCTTCATGAAGTTCCTGTGAGATATGAAGTTAGCAAGACGCTCGGGGCTGATATAAGATCCAATTCATGGTCGGTAGTTCTCTGTTCTCGGCGACGGTGTTGGACATACTGGACGAAGTTCTCCTCATCCTTGGAGGAGGCGTTGATGGGGGGACCCTGAGCGGTCTTGGGCTTTTCACCACCGGACACGGCAAGCCAGGAACCGGCGAAGATGCTGCCGAGGGTGGCCATGGCGAGCTAATGAGGGGGTGGAGGAAACCCGGTCAACTTCCATGTTTCACAAGGATCCGCACGAAGCGCGATGGAAAAGGGATGGCGAGCACGCAGCGGCGTTTTGGGAGATAGAGAAACTTACGACGTGGGAGCCGACCTTCTTGCCAGCGATCTGGTAGTAGACAACCATTTTGTAGGGTTGGAATTGAGGTACAGCGAGAGGTTCAATTGGCAGCGATGTGGACGGAATCCTCAGGCTTGCACCAAACGACGAGGTCGGCACGGATACCGCCTTTCCTAATATGGTTAGACAGTTCACATGACTTCGGAACAGTGGATGATTAGGTAAGGACACTCGGCCACCCGGCCGCATCCGATATCATGTGACCTTCCCGAAGCGAAACATCAACAGTGCATTGGCACATGAAGATCAATCACAACACGAGAACACCAAAAAGGCTGGTTTGAACTCGATGAAAGGAAGAAACCGATAAGCTAAAGCTCGGACTCAAAACGTTTGACGACGAAGAACAAATAATGAGTTCGGCGCCGACATCATCCCGAGGTCCCGTATTCCAAGGTTACTTCTACATATCCCGATCCGGAGGATACCAACGGTACCTCGGAAGGAAACTACCACAGCTGATGCTATATGTCGGCTATGGCTGGCTGTCTTCGGCTGTAGTATGCGGTTAATATGAGAATCTTTCAATAATAACTCGTTTCATCCCTTGCACAGCTTTCCCTCATTCTTCTCCTTTATTGTCTACATATTATATACCCCCTTCACGTATTGGCACGCGAATAAGCGTTGCTTGACTACATAAACCATCACCGATCATCTATACTACATCCACAATGGTCTGGGGCGGTCGTCAACCAGATGGATCCCAGTCTCCCCCGCAGGAGTTGTTGGATAAGCCTATAGTCCGAGAGAAGCTCCCCCCCAAATTGCAGCAGTTGGTTGATCGGGAAGACGACTTCTATGATGACCTCTACTCCCCATAGTATGTGAAGCTCTGATGATTTTGTGTTTTTTTCTTTTTTCTTTTCTTTTTTGGTCCAAGCAAGTTACAGTTGCTGTCGCTGTCGCTGTCGCTGTCGTGTGTTCGGAGATATGGAAGGGAGATAGAGCCTGAAAAATAAGGCCGGTGTACTTCCTTACCACCCCGCAAACTCATCTCTAGCAAATCAGCGCAACGCCGAAAGCAAGCAAAGACAAAACAGAAACTAACGATGGGCACCTCGGTTGACGACAGCTCGGTCGATTCCACAGACACGGGGTATCGCTATGCCGCGTACGCCAACCGCATCCGCACGATCCTCCTGTCCGCCCATCGGTATGTCGCCTACACTTCAGACATCGGCGAGTCCTTCCGTCCAATTGCACACCCATGGCTCGTGCGCTCTGCCTACACTATCTCCTGGACATACCTGCTAGGCGATGTTGGCCACGAGGGCTACAAGGCCTATCTCCGGAACTGGAGAGCACTGGCTCCCACCGGTGAGGCATACAAAGATGCTAGCCAGCCTTCGAATAATCAGATTATCAAGGGCATGGCGACGGGCAACATGACGATTGGAAAATCAGCCGTGTCTAAGGATGAGCTTTCAAACTGGTCGACCCCCGAGATCCCGCTTGCGGAGGACTACCGCATGGTCATGGTCAAGCGCGCGGTATTTCAGAGTATCGCGAGTATGGGATTGCCCGCATTCACAATCCACAGTGTGGTCCGCTACTCTGGGCAGATGGTGAAGGGTGTTAAGAATGCATTTATTCGTACCTGGACGCCGATCGGGGTATGTACCCCGGGCGAACAGGCAAATCAGTGAATATGATGCTAACGACTGTCTCTTATAGCTTGGTCTCGCTGTTGTCCCCTTCCTTCCCTATATCTTCGATCATCCCGTCGACGAGGCCGTTGAATGGGCCTTCCGTACTGGTCTTCGTGCTTACGGTGGCGAAGCAGCCGTCCGCCCACTACCAGGCAAGAGCCTTCCTCCCCGGGAAGAGGAGGAACACCGCGCTGTTGCGGCAGCAAATATCTCCTGGGACGAGTACAAGACTGAGCGGGACCGCGCGCGTGAGCTGCGTCGCCAGTCAAGTGAGCAGGCCGTCAGTGGTGGAATTTCGTCGCTGACGAGCTGGTTCGGAAAATCCGAATCGGAGTCGGATAAGAAGAAGAAGGAATGAGGTAAATACACTACATTGTTTTCATCATTTGACCGAAGTGCTTCCTTTGGCTGCTTCTGTCTCTTGTGTATGAGCGCATCTCTCTACTTATTGTACACATCATTTCCCACACTCTCTCATCTTCTATATTACTGATATCCACTGGGGTTAGTTGTACACTTACACTCAACCTTTCTGAACAAATTGTGATTCTGTGATTCTTCATTTTCTGTACATATTCCTTACTCATCTATCTCGAAGGTAATGAATGCCGACCATTTTCCAATTTTCATGGTTTTAGATCCTCAATATCGAATACCTGGGACTCAAATTCTGCGTGGGACAGTGTTCAATGAACCTGGTCGGGTCATGGCAGAGATCATGCTGATAATTCATATGTGACGGTAAACCCAGCTACAAACATCAATTGACCATACCGAACTTGATAGCGTCCATTGGCCTCGATTTGAGAGTCGGAATCGAACCGCGAAGATCGGAACTCATCAATAACTGTCCGGGGGTGTCTAGAGGTCTAAATACCCGTGGAACGTTGGTCCTACCTAGACAGAGTCGGGTTAGTGCCTAGAGAACCCATGGTTCCGAATGGAGAACCTGGGGTAGACCCACCTTTTTAGCTTGGAAGGCACAACTTTCTTTTTGCTTTTTTGCTCTTTTAATTTTATATCGTTATTATCGTCGTAGCAACGCCCGCCACTGGATTCTGTGTTCTTTCTACCAGTAGCATATATTTCTATAAAGCCAGCAAGTGAAATATGAGCATTCACACATCATTTGCCACCTCAAAGCCCTCCACGCGAACCGACTTGGTCTGATACTGTACAATCAAACGAGCCAGCTTCAAGCGATCTTCTCTACCAAGCCTCTGAACCCTCTGACAGGGGTTCTTTACAATCAATCCATCGTAGTCGTGCTGGAATTCCACATCAGCCTCCCATTCATATAGCGGGCTCCGCTCTCTAAAGTAATAAGGCCGGTCATGCTTCATAACGACCTCGTACAGTTTGCGAAATTCTTGAGATCTTCCGGTCTTGATATCTCCATTTGGCAGTACCACCACACTTGCATGCCACGGCATATCACCAAATAGGTCGCCTTGCCGCAATAGGGGAATAGAGATCTTGTTTCGTCCCAATGAAGGGTGAATCGAGAGACGGATGTATTTTCCAAGTGTGGCGTTAATGACGGCTTCATATGCCTGAAAAATCAGTGAGCCAGGGAAGTCAGACTTTAAGAACAACTAAAACACAAAGTATCCCAAGCAAAACTCCAAGTGAAACTTACGATGAGTCGGTTGATCATGGTTTTCGCCATCTTAGACACCTCAGCCGCGTAGAGTGCCGGATCGGCCGCGATAAGAGGATCAAACCCTTTGGCCCATTTTAAATCCTCTGATATGCGACTGAAATAGCTGTTGTATGTGGTCTTGGTATCTGAATTTGCCTTCAACTCATGGTCAATGTCGAATCTCGGATCGAAGTATGTCGGTGACATCAGTTTCTCCCTGCAGGTGGGGACGAGACGCAGGTAATCTGCCTTGGTAACTCTCTCGCCATCTCCTAACCCCAGCAAGTTCATCAGCCGGATGAACTGTATAGAAGAAAAATGCTTCTCTTTGGCGATTTTGCGCAGCTCAATGCCATAGTCGTAATATTCGTCGTCGGGAACGCCGACCAAATCTACACCGTCAGTTTATTTTATCACTGCTGGATTGATATAACAAATGGCATACCATTATATACTGGTCCGTCACAAATGAGGATAAGTCGTGCGCCGTAAGGGTAGACCTTTGAAATCTCCTCGCACAAGTGATTCAACTTCGCTAGACCCATTTCTTCTCCTAGATCAGCCCCATCTCCTAGTACTTTGTCTTGATTTGGGCTCTTCCATGGAAATGCAGGTAAGACCATGGTTATCGGCTGGTCCGCGGTGATGTTCATCTTCAGCTTGTCAGGCACAGAGTCAAACACCCTTCCGACGTCTCTCTGATGGCCATCTTCGCTCGAATGCAAGCAAAACCGCTTTAGTACCTCGACAACCTTTAGAGGCACTTCATCTGGAGCATATTCGAATCTCATTGTAAATGAAATGCCGAGGAATTGATGGATGGGTGCAGCAAAATGGGGGGGGGGGGGGGGGTTTGGGTTGTTTTTTGTACGCCGACGGGGCAGGGGTGGGGAGGGAGTGTGGGGTGTGGGTGAGGGGGGAGTGTATTTTTAGGTTGAGGGGGC